GCTTCCTAGATTCGAGGGAGTGAGGAGCTGAGGGAGTCGAGTTGAAATCCAGAAGACATGCTGATCTATCAAAGGAATATATTAAGAACTAGAAGTGGAGAGAAACAAATATCAGATAAAACTTCAGCTATTCTACAGTTTGCCCCTGCAACTCATATCCCAGCACCATCTTTGTGGCTAAGCAGAATCTTAGATAATCAAACTGCAATTGAAGATCATTTGAAAATGTGACTATATATTTATGCTGCTAGCCTTAAATAGGACCTTGGCAATCCAAAAGAATCAATGCCCCCCTTTCAGAAACTACCTAGCACCAGAGAATGAATGGGATAGAGATGTGTGCACTGCAATAAACTTCCTTTCTGTTTTATTCTAACTACTTGGTAAGAATAGAGGGAACATTTTTAAATAGTGACATGAACTGACAGGTGGAAGTCTCCATACTCAAGTTACAGATCCAAGTTTGGATACCATTAAGGTCGTTTCTTTCCTTTTTTTTTTTTTTTTAAATAGATTAAGACATTGAGAAACTCATTTGAAAGACACAGCCCCAAAAAAGTAGTAAAACCAGGTTTAAATCAGAAAAAGATGAAAATTTTACAATTCAAAGTAGGTATATTTTTACTTACATGAATAAAAACTTTAAATAAATACACATACACATTCATCTCAAGTCCAATTTGGCAGACTGTAAAAGAGAGACATCTGGGAACTTGATTCCTAAGACATGACTTTACAGTATTGCTGCAAAATCAAGCACCCTTTTGAAGCTTTAGAGAACAGTTAAATCCCTAAAATATCATTCTGAGCCTCCTTTATTTTCACAAGGGAAATATGCTAACACTAATCTTGCTTCCAGCTACTGTTCCTTTGGCAACTACCACATGTAAAAATAACAGATTCTTGATTTCTCCACCCTCCACTTGATAAACAGGTCTTTAAACAAAAAAACTCAGTAACATTTCAAGTCACATTTTAGACCTAACATATCAATGTCCTAAATAAGAGTGTGTACTAAAATACACTTTTTTTTTGCATGACTAAAATATTATGTTCCAAAGCATCGCCATCTTCTAACTGTATTATGAACAGAATGTATCTAAGGAAGTGTGAAAAACTGGATTGGAATGGTAAGGGGGCGGAAAGAAGAAAAAAAAAAAACATGTTTATAATCTGTTCCAATTCTCAGTTTGAAAAAATTCAATATAGAATTCGGTTAGACCAATGGTTTAAGTACAGGAGTTAGTTTGAGTTGAACTGCTAGGCACAAAATTCAAACCTTTAATGCTCAACCCGACCTTTCTGCCAGCTTCGGTTCCTACAATCTAGGACATCGGGGCTACTGTGCTGAGGCGCTTTCCACAACGAGTGATCGCTCTTTGGCTCTTAATGTCCAGATGCTACCACACAGACCGTGACATCTGCTGTAGGCACTCTCCAGTGTGGGGAGCACGCCTCCCGTCACTGTGCTTGCCCTCCTATAGGACTTCTATAGAAAGTGTGCAGAGACGGCTCTGTGGGGGTCACACCCTCTCTTCTCTGCAGATTATGTGTGTTTCTAAGTTCAGTATGGATAGCTTGAAAATGGTTAATAATACAACACAGTTAATCATTGGTGGAGAAGCTAAATTTCACGGCCTCACTATACATCTCAGCTAGGATAGGTTCAACCTCCATCTACCATCATGGAGGCTAAGTCATCAGTTTGCCTACTATACTTTTGGGAAGAAAAAGAAGTGAAGACAGACCCTATCCATCCAAGTCAGTAACTTCAAAATTTAAAGTATCAACTGACTTTTGCATATATGTTGTCCCAAAATAAGTGGAGTAATTCCAACATATTTGGAAAATTTAAACTATTACTTCCTTTGAATAAGGTAATTCAATTAGAAGATTGATGAGTATGATTAAAGAAATATAGAGAGTACCCTAGCTTGTTTGACTAGTGAGAATTATTACAAATTAAACAGTAAATCTCAAATTATGGGAAAATAAGATTTGTAGTTAGGTTCAGATTATTGAAGTGATTTAACAACAATGAGTCTTTAAATTAATTGCTTCTGTTCCTACCACTCATTCTTACCACACACAACTCTCCCAGGCTCTGTACATCATCTATGCTGTTAATCACTATTGTCCACTAACAAAAAAAGAAAACCTCACCTTTGCCAACATGTAGGCATGAACTGTCCTTTCCTATCTGCCCTCAGTATGTCCTGGAAACATGTATCTTAGATTATACTTGCAGCAAGATCAACAACAGGTCTGTGAACTGTGAATGCAGTATCTTAGGCATTGAATTTTGATAGAGCATTTAAAAAAATAAATAGTTTGCCACATTTTTGTTAATTTTAATGTATGCAGAAGAGCAAGCTAATGTCCTAGTACTGCATGATCCAATTACAGCAAACCTTTCCTTTAAATAAACAAACATACTAACACAGAAATACGTGTCATTATATTCATAAGTAAAGTAATATTTCAGCTGAGTTGAAAGTTTATCCTTCCTGCCGCACAATTACCTTGCTGGCAGAGTGGAAATCTACAAATTCTAATTCAGGGCCTCTCAACCTCAGTACTACTGATATTTGGGATCAGAAATTCTTTGTTATGGGGGCGGTCTTGTTAACTAAAGGGTTTTTAGCAGCATCTCTGACCCCTTAGATGGCAGTAGCACCCGCCTCACAGCTGTAACAACCAGAAGTATGCCCTGTGCTATGCCTAGCTGCTCAGTCGTGTCCCACTCCTTCCGACTTTATGGGCTGTAGACTGCCAGGCTCCTCTGTCCATGGGATTCTCCAGACAAGAACACTGAAGTGGGTTGCCCTGCGCCCCTCCAGGGGATCTTCCCAGCCCTGGGATCGAACCCAGGTCTCCTGCATTGCAGGCAGCAAACGTCCCCTGGGGAGCAAAAATGCCCCCAGTTGAGCACCACTGGTCTGACCAACACCAAGTCCTTTAACCTACAGTCAGTATAGGGCAAGATCTTTGACCTACAGAAGCTGCCATGTTACATAAGAACTGAAACTAAAGAGAAACGCATTAATTACTATTTCGTAAGGAATTTTTTGCTTTCCTTCACACCTGCTTCCTTTTATATGAACGCTATCTCAGGGCATAGGAGCTCTGACCAACACGTTTAGATGAGCCATTAGCCCGCTTCCTCACGTCTCCACCCTTCGCTTCCTTCGCAGCAGCCCCGCGGCTGACCCTTGTGCTCTTGGGTCCAACAACACGGCACGATCAGGGGCGATGCTCTCGATTTAGAGCCGAGGTCCCCACAGAGGCCTTCTCCGTAGGACTCCTTGGACACCTCTTGCTTTTATGAACTTGCGGTTGCCACTGAAACAAGTTGTGCTGCATACTTCCTACTACGACTGTAACTTTGTGACCTCTCGGTTTCAGCTTGTCAGTAATTTAATTTCACTGAAGGCTGAGCCCAGATACTGATATTGCCTTAACACTTTAGAGGTGGCGTCTCATGAGACAGGCTGCAGGCAAGTCTTGCTCAGGGCACTTTTGAAATTAGAAGCCAACAAACGTGTTTGACTTAGTCCCGCAGTCTACTTGGACACTGGCTACAGAGGTTCAAAACAGTATGATTTTGAGAGGGAAAGACATTTCTTCTTCATGGACAGCAACAACTAAAGAAAAACACTTTCAGAATCAAAAATGTCTTTGCCCATCTGATAGGTGTTATGACAGAATGGCGATTAGGAAAAATAAATTCATCTATATAGTTATTGTTCATGGAAATTAAACATGACCTCAAATACTGCAGAAGTAAACATGCCAGTTTGACGATGAAACTCAGGATCTCTCCAGTCTTCCAGTTAGTCAGAAATGCTGACAGACTCTTCCCTGCCTTGTACATTATCACTGCTGTGCAGTTTAGAAAGGCTTAATCAACAGAACTAGAAGCAGATAGATGCAAAATGGCTTGTTCATTTAAAAAATATATGGCTGCTTTTAAAAGATTAATCCTACCAGGATTTTTAGCTTATATTGCTAAGAGACAATATATACTAGGAAAAAAACTGGCCATATTTAAGATTTTACAGACAATTTTTTAATAACTTTAAAGTGCTCACAACAGGGCTACTAACCATTCAAACTCAGTCTCTGAATTGGTAAAAGCTAATTTTTCCATTTCTATGATTTCTATAGATAGAATAAAGGTGTTTGTTTTTCCCCTTGGAAAAAATGCTAATGAGGTTTAAGAGCCATGATAAGGAGGAAGTCATTATTAGAGAATTAAATCATTTTCCTGTCACATTTATCTAGTAACACAAGCTTACTCTGATTCACTGAAAGCAAATTTAGATTTATAAGAAAAAAATCTTACAAGAGTTTAACACCAGATTTCCTGAAACCATATACTCACACATAAACAGCATTTTCCATCTAAAACACAACACAAACACCCGCGCACGTTTTTACATACACCCCCACTTTCACTTTCTCATCCATACTATTAAGAGTGGGGGGAAAAAAAAAAAACAGTTCATTTTTAGAAATCAGGCACAAATGACAAAAGTCATTAGTGTTGCATGTTGGTCCCAGGCACTGCTGCTTTCCAAATATTGTCTCTTTTTCTCACTATCCCACTCTCATTTTTATGTTAGCAATTATGTCTTAATTTCAAATAATTATTTTCACTCTGTAAGCTAGACTATAACCTCTCCATTTTCTTTATACATATAATAAGCCTCCTCACCATTAGCAACCAAACACAACCATGTTGGACAGGCATTAAAATATAAACCACCATTTCGGTTAATATAGAGATTTAAAATAATAACATATCATGGTCTCAATTACAGAACAGCTTCACACTCACAAAGCTATTTCTTAAATAGTCTGCTTTGGAATACAAACAGAGGAAGACAAGGAGATGATTTTTCAGTAAGCAGAACTCTCAGAAATTATTCACACCAGCTACAAGCCCTAAGTTTAAAGAAAAAAAAAAAAAAAACATATAACAAACCAGGGAAACTTACTTGACAGTGACTCGATTTGATAAATCCTGTAGATCCCCAGGATGGAAAAGCTGGGCTTCTTTCAATCCAATCTGTTCACAAGCTTTCAAAAAAACGTTTATATTATCCTGTGAAAAGAAGTGGAAAGTGACTGCTTAGCTGAGCTCTCTCTCAGACAAAGGTTACCAATTTTTATGATATAACTTCCCAGCATCAAAGTCCAATTACAGCTGGCAAAAAAAAAAAAAAAAAAAAAAGGAGGAAGAAAGACCAATGCATTCACGTATTTAAAAAAAAAAAAAAAATACTAATCTGTGGGCATGTACAGCCTTTCAGTTTTCCAGAACATAAACGGCAGCGTTCTCGGATGCCAGGCATATGCCGTTCCTGTGATCTTTGTGACTGGCACGTTAAACATTACCTGGGAGAGGACAAGCGCCTGGCCACTGGGCAGTAATCTACACTTTGATGTCAGGTTGCTCTGCAAACAAACGCCCTCTTCCCAGCTTTGCACGACAAGCTTCACCTCTCCTCTTTAAAAATAACTCCAGCTACTGACATTCACCCACCCAGAAACTGTTGGCAGGGAGGAGGGGAGAGGAGGAACATTCTGTTTCTATGATTACAAATTACAGAACGACTGTGGAGTACCACACCTGGAATCTGGGTTTGGTTGCTGAGCCGGCTCTTGACAGCCAGGGCAACCGCACTCTAGGACCCGGGAGAAGCCCAGTGTTCATTGGCTGAGCCGCAGGGTGGGGGTGTGGCCCCGCACCTGCCTCAGGAGTTGCCTCCACAACCTGAAAATCTCGGTGGCCCTCCTATCTAATTTCAAAACTCAAATCCTCCATTCACAGGCCCAGGCTTCTCGTTCACGTCAACGGCCGCTCCCACACTAACAGGGACACACGCTGGTCGAGCAGAACTGGCTGGAGCTTCGGTCAGTACTCTGCGTCGTGAAAGAAAACACTTGATGGGGTTGAACTTGGGCTGCGGCCATGGGACTCTCCACCTCGGATTTGTTAGGCTCTCAGGCAGCAAGAGATTGGCCTCCTGAGAGCTCGCTGCCCTCCCTGACAGGTGGTTATGAGCGACCTGGAAGGGAGGCAGCTCCCAAGAGCAGCTGCCACGTGGAGACAGGCAGTTACTCTTTCCCATCTTGGGAAGGCAGGCCAGGACGGCAAAGGAGGGGGGATCACAGACAGGGAAATGGAGGACAGCAAAGATGCTAAATTCAATAGCTCGGATTCTTGAAGAGTGAGGGGATTTAGGAAAAGGGGAACAAACATATGGCAGAGGAAAGCAGTGCTGTTAGGGAACTCAGGGACAATATTTTAAAAAAAAAAAAAAAAAACCTGTTTGTAATGGCAGGAAATTATTCTAGTGTATTATCAGTAAAAGGCAGCATGAATGACTTAGCTGAAGGCGGCAATCCATGATTCATTTTAAATCAGAGGTCAAAGATTAAAGGAACTTAATTCAAAAGTTGAACAGCTCAATGGAAGGCATTCAATCTGACTTTGGCAGGGGTCCGGGGCGGGAGGGGGCCGGGGTGTTAATAGTAATGTATTGGCAACATACCAAGGGGGCAAAAGTGATTATTATGTTACATTCACATAACTTTTAAAACCTATACAACCTAATTACCAAACAATTCAAATTAATGGTTCTAAAACTGATTCTCAGAGAAGCAGACAAGAACAAATGAATTGGGGGGGGGGGGTATTAGTTGCTCAGTCGTGTCCGACTCTTTGTGACCCTACGAACTATAGCCTGCCAGGTTCCTCTATCCATGGAATTCCCCAGGCAAGAATAATGGAGTGGGTAGTCAGTCCCTTCTCCAGGGGAGCGTCCCAACCCAGGAATTAAACCCAGGTCTCCTGCATTGCAGGCAGATTCTTCACCATCTGAGGCACACAGGGAACCCCCTACAGAAGTAAATCTCACTTCAAAAAGGAAAAATAATCCATTTGGAGTCTTCCCACAAATTCAATTTGCTTCTGAATGTTGTTTTTTTTTAAAAAGTTAAATTAGAAGTAAATGCATTGAGCTGACAGCCAAACCAATTCTTCACATATTTTATAAAAATATAATAGCATTCATCCAGTTGACAGATATGTACAGAATGATAAAAACAGATAAAGCCACACACACCTCAAAACCTATCCAAGTATTTTGAAATAAACCACTTAAAAACAAAAGGGACTATATTTCATTGGAGACAAAGAAAAAGACACAAAATAAATATGACCAAATTCTGGTTCTAAGTAAAGCCTTTACATTAAAAAGCAGAACCTTTTAAACAGTTCAGTGATGCTCAAGTTTAAAAAAAAAAAAATTTTATGAATAAAGTCTCAAATGGCCTATGCAGCGGGAACAGGTTGTACGAAGATCAGAATTGTAACCTAAATCGTGCTTGCTGGACTTGAGCCCACTGGTAATTTAGTTTGTGTAATTTCAAAAGACCTAGGCAGAGAGTTGCCTAAGGGGAGAGACAAAATTATTAAATAAAATTTTCATGTTTGTTGAAACATCAAGAAGCCACACCCAGCTCAACATATTAAAAGAGAAGGATTTAGTCATTATTTAGTGGAATCATTTTCCCTTGAAACTAGTAAAGATAAATGAAAGTTAAAACAAAGGGCAAGCCTAAAACGAATCTTATCTCATTGAACTGGTGGCCAGCACAAGAAGTTAGGTCTGCAACTCACCAACTGTGTGGCTTCTGGAAACGTTAGTCAATCTTTCTGGCCCCGTTCACTTCATCTGTGAAATGAGTGAGTTGTGGATCTGGAACCCAATACACCAAGGGCTTTCCAGGTGGCTCAGTGGTAAAAAATCTTCCTGCCACTGCAGGAGATGTAGAAGAGATGAGTTTGATCTCTGGGTTAGGACGATCCCCTGAAGAAGCGAATGGCAACCCACTCCAGTATTCTTGTCTGGTAAACCTCATGGACAGAGAAGCCTGGTGGGCCACAGTTCATGGGGTCACAAAGACAGACATGACTGAACCACTGAGCATGCATCCAACCCATTACCAAGGAAAACACCTCTCTTACAAAGGGAGGGAAGCCCAACTCTCCCCTAGCCCAATCGTGCACGCAAATACCTCACAGCCTAACTTGCATAAAAATCTCAAATCAAAAGCCTGAACTAAATAACTGCAATTCCTACCCTATGAGGACCCAAAGTAGCTTCACAAAAATAGAAACAAATAAATGATCCCTGAAAATCTGCAATAGCTCCCCTTAGTTTAAAATTTTTCTATGACATGATTAAAACCAGACAGTATATAAACAGAAAGGTTATTTTTCTGAAGATTTTCATATGCTCTGCAATCCCTTTTCCACCCCCTTAGTCTTGAATCAATGATATCAGCAGTCATAACAGATGTCGGGTGAAGGGAATCCAGGCAAATGAGGGATTAATGAATTAGGAATGGTATTCACTAACAACTGAGGAAGGAGGCACACTCAGTCACTTCAGTTGTGTCTGACTCTTTGCAAGCTATGGACTGCAGCCCAATAGGTTCCTCTGTCCGTGCGATTCTCCAGGCAAGAATACTGGAGTGGGTTGCCCTGTCCTCCTGCAGGGGATCTTCCTGACCCAGGAATCGAACCCATATCTCCTGCATCACAGGCAGGTTCCTAACCCACTGAGCCACCTGGGAAGCCTGAGTCAGGCAAGATGACGAAGCTACCAAAATTTACCAAGATTCCTAGGTTTCTATGAGTCCACTGTAATACCTCTATTGGTTATCTACTGCCTCACAGCAGATTATCCTAAAACTTAGCAGCTTAAAACCACAGACATTTGTGATTTCACAGTTTCTGAAGGTCAGGAATTTGGGGGTGGCTTAAGTTGCTTCCCTGATGGCTCAAAAGGTAAAGAATCCACCTGCCAATGCAGGAGACTCAAGAGACATGGGTTCCATCCCTGGCTTGGAAAGATCTCCTGGAGGAGGGCATGGCAACCCACTTCAGTATTCTTGCCTGGAGAATCCCAGCAAAGACAGAGGAGCCTGGTGGGCTACAGTCCATGGGGTCACAAAGAGTCGATGTGACTGAGCAACTAACACTACGTTGCATGGTTCTGGCTTGGAGGTCAGCTAGGGCTACAAACAACTCAACACCTTCTGGGAGTTGAAGGAACCACTTCCAAGGTGGTAAGTCAAGGCTGGCTGTTGGCAGGGAGCCTCAACTCTTAACCAAATGGAAAGCTCCACAGGGCTGCTTGACTGAGTGATCCCAGAGAAAGCAAGATGGAAGCTGCAGGTTTTCATGACCGAACTTCTTATCCTTCAGAGCAGGTTACATCAGTTCAATTCAGTTGCTCAGTCGTTTCCAACTCCTTGAGACCCCATGGACTGCAACACACCAGGCTTCCCTGTCCATTACCAACTCTTGCAGCTTGCTCAAACTCATGTCCATCAAGTCAGTGATGCTATCCAACCATCTCATCCTCGTCGTCCCCATCTCTTCCTGCCTTCAGTCTTTCACAGCATTGGGATCTTTTCCAATGAGTCAGTTCTTTGCATTGGATGGCCAATGTATTGGAGTTTCAGCTTCAGCATCAGTCCTTCCAATGAATATTCAGGACTGATTTCCTTTAGGACGGACTAGTTGGATCTCCTTGCAGTCCAAGGGACTCTCAAGAGTCTTCTCCAACACTGCAGTTCAAAATCATCAATTCTTCAGCACTCAGCTTTCTTTATGGTCCAACTCTCCCATCTATACATGACCACTGGAAAAACCATAGCTTAGACTAGATAGACCTTTGTCAGCAAAGTAATGTCTCTGCTTTTTAATATGCTGTCTAGGTTACATAGGTCAGCCCTATTCAAAGTAGGAAGGACTATACAGGACATCAATAGCAGGTGGTAAGAATCACCAGAGACCATCTTGTGGATCTTATAACAAAGCTCACGTTCTGGCCCCAAGATTTGTGTTCCTCTCACATGCAAATACACCAACTCCCTCTCAAGGACCTAAAAATTCTCATCCTTTGATAAGGTGACCTCAGAGTCCAGAATCTCATCATACAAATCAGATCCAGGTATGAAGGAGGCTCCTCAGGTGTGGTTCCTTCAAAACAGCCCTTGAATACAGTTCTCTCAACTTGAATGCCA